GCGGGTAATTTTATTACATATATTGATATAGCAGAAATAATTTCCCAAAAAAAGAAAGGCGAGTTTTCGACGCGGGTAATTTTATTACATATATTGATATAGCAGGACCCATTCCCAAAAAAAAAAGAGGCGAGTTTTCGAAGCGGGTATTTTTATTACATATATTCAAATAACAGAAATAATTCCAAAAAAGAGAAAGGCGAGTTTTCAACACGGGTAATTTTATTACATATAATACAGTAGCCGGAAAAATTAAAATGGGCGAAAAAAATCAGTGTTTCCTCCGCTTAAGATTGTTGAAAAATTTCACGGGTAACAACTCGTTAAAAGAAGATGAGAAGTGAGAATTTTTCCTACGTTTAATTTTATTCCGAACACTCACATAGGGGCCAATTAATTTGAAGAAAGAACGAAAAGAAAAATTTTCCGCGCGGAAAATTTTATTCCCTAAAATCCTTTGGGAACGGAAATTAACCCAAGGAACGGACAAAAGATGTTTGACTCGATGAATTGTATTACCCAAATCGAAGTGGCAGCGAAAAATTAACCAAATAGCAAGGAGGCAATTTAACATACGGTTAATTTAATTCCGAAAATTTCGGGGTGACAAAACCATGAACAAAAGTTGCAGGGAGTTTTGTGCAGATTTAATTGCGTATGAATCATGACGGCAACAAGGGAAAATGCAATGGAGGAGGGAAAGGTGCCTGATCAAACAGTCTAATCTTATTGCAAAAATTCCCCAAAAGACGAAATTAAAGGAAAGTGACCAGACAAATATTCCGTCCATGTAAATTAATTCCATGAATTCCGGTGCCAAGAAAAGAATAAAACAGCCAAGGAATCACATGTTCAACTCTTCAGAATCCTTCAGAATAATTATCGGTGGATGTAATATTTTGCACACCAAAAAAAGGAGGGTAGTTTCACACGTGTAATGTCATTCCAGAAATGTATGTACAGAGAAACAATTGACAGAATGGAAAAGGAGGCAATGTTCCCGCACTTTAGTGTCATTCAAAATAATTACCAAACAAGGCAACATTTTGCAAACAAAAGGAGGGAACATAGTTTCACCCTTGTAATGTCATCCCCAAAATGTGTGTGCAAGGAGATAATTGAACAAATCCAAATCCCCCGGATGTTCCCCCCATTTATTGTCATTCTGAATAGATACCAGGGAGGGGAACATTTTGCACACGGGAAAAGGAAAGATAATTTCACACGTGTAATATCATCCCGGAAATGTCTGTGCAAAGAAATAATTGAGCAAATGGAAAAGGAACCAATCTTCCCCCCCTGTACTGTCATTCGGACTAATTACAAGACGGGGACAAATTTTGCCCAAAGGGAAAAGAGAAATAATTTCACACGTGTAATGTCATTCCGAAATTGTGTGTGGAAAGAAATAATTGAACAAATGGAAAAGGAACGAATCTTCCACCCCATTGCTGTCATTCAGAATAATTACCGGACGGTGACAATTTTTCCCCGAAGGAAAAGGAAAAATAATTTCAGACGTGTAATGTCCTTCCCAAAAGGTGTGTCCAAGGAAATAATTGAACAAATGGGAAACAGACGAATATTCCCCCCCTTTACTTTCATTCGGAATAATTACGAGACGGGGACAAATTTTGCAGACAAGAATGAAGTGGGATGATTCACTGGTGTAATGTGATCCCAGAAATGTGGGTGCGGCAAAATAATTAAACAAATCCAAAACCGGCGGATGTTCCCACCATTTAGTGTCCTTCTGAATAATTACCAAAGGAGGCATTATTTTGCACAACCAATCCAAGGAAAATGATTGACTGGGGTAATTTATTTCCAAAAATGCGGTTGCGGAAGAAAAATTAAACGAATCCAAACACACCGAATGTTCCCCCCATTTAGTGTCATTATAAATAATTACCAAAGAAGGCAATATTTTGCACACAAACACAATAATTTTTCGATCGCGTAACCTCCTAAAAAAATTCCGTGGCAAAGAAATAATTAACGTAATGGAAAGGGAAGGAGAATTCAACCTCATTCGTTTCACTAAAAATAATTACAGTGCGAAAGGAAAGCAAGAGAATGAAAAAAGAATTTATTCCGCGGTTAGCGTAAGTCCAAATAATTAAAATGTGTGCGTTATTTTACACAACAACAGTGAGAAATGTTTCACTTTTGCAACTTCCTTCCGGATGATTACGAAGACAACAATATTTTGCCCAAAGAAGAAAGAGACTGTCTCCACAATTTAATAAACTTCGAATTAATTATAAGTCGGGGAATATTTAGCAACACAAGAGAGAACTTTGTTTTACCGAATAACTGTCATTTTGAATAGTTACCGAGGAAGAAGGAATTTGCAGAAACCCCAAAACAACTGTCTAACCCCTTTCATGTGATTCCAATTAATGATCAAACAAGGAGAATTTAGGAAACGAACGAAAAGAAGTGTTTTCCCTGATTAGTGTCATTTCAATTACTTACGACCACGACAATATTTAGCCCCCCTAAAGGAAGAGGTCTTTAACAAAATTAGTGTTATTTAAAATCTTCCAAAAACAAGAAATAATGAGTCCGAAAGAAGAAATTACAAATACCTCTACCAGGAAGCCTAGGAAGCCAAGGAATTCCCAGAAAAAGAATAGAGCCCCAAAACTAACAGCGAATGAGTTGAGCAGTATGATGTGTATCCAAGTAACGAAGGAAGGCATTCGACTGAAGAAACCAAAGATTAAATTCCCCTTCCCAATGTGGCTGGATCCGAAGAAAGGGGAAAGAATATCTGATCCACGGGAAAAGGATCGGATATCCCCCTCAAAGGTTAGTGAGGATAATTGTCAGGAGCAAATTAAGACGAAGAAGAGTAATGAAGCATTCAATTCCCCTGATGCCAAGAATTTGAAAAACAGTGGTTACTGTCTCTAGCAAAGAAGAAGGTATATCCCAGGAGAACTATTATTTCAACAATTTGCAAGGAGGGATTTGGCACGATGAAAGGAAGCAGAAGATGTATTCCCCTCAAACGTTTATTCTAGAATTATACCGAAGAGTCATTAATTATCCTAAGAAGAAGAGACAGGATAGAATTTATTATGTTGCAGATTTTATTGAAAACGGACAGCCTAAACCCTCTTAAGAATAGGCTGATGAGTAATGTCCTAAGGAAAAGGCATCTAACAACGCACATGCTGTTTTATTTTTTACAAATCGTGATTGATATTATAACGAACAATTAACGTATATCTGTACATGACAGTGATCATTTTTTAATTGTGTCCAATGTTTGTCCATATGAATAGATATTTCGTTCTGCATGTTTTAAACACCTAAAACAACGACTTGTTCCGTGAACATATGTTCCCGAATCCTGAAAAATTGGATCACATCTAAAAGTCTGATAATGATGCGGCCGGTCTTATATGTTCAACGTACGATAGGGTTCAGGTATACATATAAGGTTTAGGGTTGGAAAATGATCCCTACTATTATAAACTCCGTCCCCCCACTCTGAGTACCGTCAGTTAAAACATTGAACCCCCCCCCCTAAGTATACAACTAGGTGCCCTAAGGGGTTACCACCGCCAAAGGATGACCTTCCTTCAATATGTTAGTCATGCCCCAAACAATATTTTATGTGTTCTAAGGAGTCTAGATTTAGTCTACATTGTGTTAGAATGTGTACCAACTTCCATTTTATGAGTCTATTTTTGTGTCCATTATTAGTGAATCACCCCATGTATGGTTGTTAGAGGACTTAGATTGGCCGAACTGAGATAGTCAATAGAACCATTCTAACACCATAATTATAAAGGAGGAAGCGTCTTAAACAGGAAAGAATTGATCTATGAGTCAATCTATGGAATCGAACAACTTTGACCTGGGGTGTGTTGGGATATCCCTTCCTTCTCAGGAGTGGTACCAACAAAGTGAGCCTTCACCAACCAGAAGGGGTCCGATTTCGGACTTAGAGGAGTTGTCATTTTATCATCTAGGATTGATCTGTCGGACCAGAAAATAGGAGAACAACCACTTGAAAGGGTGTCTTTGTCCTTAGTAGGGTGAAGCAACCCCCCCAATAATAGGGGGTTGTCTTATAAGTAGGTTATAGGAGTACCCCCTTAGAAAGGGTCAAATGGAACAACCATTTCATCAACCATTAGATTTGTTCTATGTTTCGATCTACCCTTATTAGTACCGTCATGGAAGTGTGTTATGAGAGAAAAGTTGTTTGTGTCAAAGTTGAAGTGACGATTATATCGACCCCCCCAACCAGTATGAATAGTAAGGGGGACTGGACTGACAACCATGGATTAGACAACATGAGAAGTTGTTTTTTGTGAAAAAGTTGGATGGACCCGGGATTTAGGTTGACCCTTCCAGAGGTTGTATAGGAATGGCCTGTGTGTAAATTGAACAACAACCTATAACAACAACCTATATAAGGAATGAATAGGCAGTAAACAGATTATGTACCCAAGAAAGGGGTGTTGACAATAAGGATTGGACCGCTGAATTAGGATAGAATAACCCTATATAGGATGTTAGAAAGGGTCATTTTAGACTCCCCCTGTCTATAGTGGAGTGATTAAGCCAAAATTAGGAAGTTGTCTGACAATCGGATTTTACCCCCCCCCAGAGACCACCCCAACCTAAGTCGTGGTATTAGACTGACCATCGGGGGGGTCAAAGAAAAAAGTTTCCAAATTCGGGTTTAGAGTGGTTGAATCATCATTAGACAGCTATATTATGAAGTTTTATACCGGTTTCGAAGTGATATCTGGATTAGGTGGAAAAATTTGAGGGGGTCATAACATCGTCCTATATTATAAGGGAAGGACTGTGATGAAGAAATCAACCTTCGTCTAACAGGATTTACCATGACAAGGATGAGTAGTGTCACCCAGAATTAGTGAATCCAATGGAAGAACTTTTCTAATTCCGGGTTTAGAGTTGTCTTTTGTTTATTGTCTAATGAATCATCCATTATTAGAAGTTGTCAATGAGAAGTAGGAAGAAGCCGTAGTAAGGAGGGTGTCTTCCTTTGTTAAGAGATGACATCCTTCTACATTATTGGGCTTGGACAGATTAGTTCTAGTGTGCAATTGGGTGGACATGGGTTCGATTCCCAGGGATGAGAATTTTCCAACCGACCAGAGACTAAGTCAGCTAAGGAAGTCGACTCCTGAGAAGAAGGGGGTGCCTTCCCCCCTTGGAATAGGAAGTCATCTTACAGAATGGACAACCATTAGAAGGAGTTGTCAATCGTCAAATAGGAGTTGTTAGACAAGGATTGTAATGAAGAATACATTTGTCCTAAGGAATTAGGTTGAATCATATGGAATCCTGTCTATGGTTTGGACAACCAACAGGACTCAATCCTTAGGGAAGGATGACCTAGGAAGTCAATCTTGGAAGGGGTTGGTTGACCCACCTAGGAATGTCATTACAACCCCGGAATTAGACAATATTAGAATTAACCTAAATTAGACAGGCCATAATTAATGAATTGACCCCTTGTTTTAGTAGCGTCTACCCCTTGAAAGGGTCTATACCGTCATTAGGGGAGGGGGTGGCCATTAGAAACAGGAGTAACCCCCCTTTGGAAGTTGAACAACAACATTAGACAACACTTCGGATTCGGGATTTAGATTGGATTAGAACAAATTAAATCAAAGAAGTGTGTTATAAGTCAGGGTTTAGGGGGTCGAACAACAAGCATTAGGATTAGTCGACCGTTCTATTAGACAACCATTGGGGGTGTATTAGGAAGGGGTTGTGACAACATGAAAGTTGCATTTCAGGTTGTGGACTAACATTTCGGGTTTTTAGCTAACGGGTAAGGTT